TTCAAAGCCCGGAAAACATTCCTAAATGTCATTGAGGAAGCTTAATTCACCTGTCCATTGTAACCTCATCTTGATAGAATACTTCCTGGCGAATGCCCAAAAAGTTTGAATTCTCTTTGGAGATACTGCAAATCGAAGCATATAATTTTGGGAGAAAGAATTGCGTAGAAAATAAAAAGTTTCTGAGCGCCCTCTTTTACAGAAAGCTTCAAAGCTAATATCTGAGCGTGTTATTTTTCATTTTTATATATTGTTTTTCGTCGTATTTTTTCTAACAAAAAATAAAATATAAGAACAGAGCAGACAGCGTGTCTCACTATACCTAAGTGATAATTATATTGTTCCAATTTGCTTTTCTTAGAATCGTTTTTATATAATACCGGCTGCCGTATAATTCTCAATATTTTTTCTGATACTATCTAGCAATGTGGAACTTCAGAGAAAACGTTAACTGTCTATTTAATTTAGAAATATTTTTGCTCATTTTCGGATCGTGTAATTATCTAGTTTTATAGTCGTATCTGCTACCATGAAAAGCGATTTAACAATTTATTTAAATCGGTTAAATAAAGGAGGGTTGAGTATTAAGTTTTGGGGAAAATAATGTGAAGAGTTATTGAGCTGTTTAAAATTCGGTGTGTATCAGATTATTAGTCTTGCTTATATTTTAAGAAAAAACAGATAATAATTTAATAATTTTCCAGTAAAAACAAGTGCAAACAAAAATAAAATTAACTCGTTTGAAATAGAAATGGAAAACTCCAGGAGTCTTAAATAAACATAAACATTCCTTAAAATTTAAATCAGGCACTTGTTAACGAAGCAGGTTAAAAAACCAGCATATTCACTTTAGAATTTACTCCCTATCTAAGAAAGCTGTATGTCTTAACATAAAAAGCTCCACTCCTCACTGTGTATGGCATGAATATTCTTAATCAATTTAGTTATGACCACCTATAAGAGRGCAAATCTATCAAGTTTTTTCTAGCTATAAATCATCTCAACACAAACGCATTATTTGCTGATAGTTAATCCATTAAGGGCGGTTCTTTGCTGCCAAAATAACAAACACCTCTTTTACAATAGTCGGCAAAATGCGCACTGAAAACGTAATGATCGAATTATTCATATACAATCAAGGGCCATTGTGCGATGGTCATTATTTGTACTGAATCGTAATTTTTTTGTTTGTTAATAATTGCCTTTGTCTATTTGGAATGTTTCGTGGTTTTAGTGTTCGTGTTTTGTTTCAAATTTAAAGTTCACAAATTATTTGCACCCTGTGGGACATCATTTCGTTTAACGGAGTGTTAAATTTATGTTTGAATTTAGTGGCGTGTGTCGAATATTCATTGTTTCATTGGCTGATGGTTCACTTTGTTCACACTAAGCGACCTTTAGCAGCTATTAATTCTGAAAAATATTATCCAGAATACCCTTTTTAATTATTACTGCATTTAAAAATTGTTGTCTTTGGGCTAAACTTATTTGATCATTTATAACATTTTCTTGGGTTTCGGTCATTTATTGCTACAGTTAAAAATTCATTCGTCAATTTTAAAACAATTGAAATTCTTATCTAAAAAATGAAAACTAAATTTACTCGACAAAATTCTATTTTTTATCGCTGCGTTATATTTGGTTGGTAACTTTAACATTGTATCGCGATATTTTTGTCAAACAATTGCTCATATAGTTAAATTTTAACTTTTATTAACAATAATAATATTCTTCTCATTTGAAAGTAATTTAACAATATTTACTACAAAATAATGTTTTAAAAATAAAGAAAACCAATACGCCCAATTTATTATAAATAAATAATTTTAACCTCTTTCATATGTTAAGCCTCAGTTTTTACTATTGAAAAAGTGTAACGGTTCGACAAATAAAACAACAAATTAACATATTGCCAATAAGAGATATAGACAAATAAACTGAAATAAAGTTCAATTCACGGCAGCATTTTTAATTATTTACCAGCCATTTAGAAAAGTCAAATTTTCTCGTAAACTGGTAAACAGATAGATATAGAACTATTTAGCAAAAATGACAAGTTTTTTATCTGGAATTATACACACTGACAATATACGGGGTGTGTCATTAAAAATGTGTTTTTGTTGAAAATACATTATTTCATGTGTACGATCATAATCACCGTTTTGCAGTTTCAAAGACAAATATGTATTTAAATAGCAAATGTTAATATAGTATTAGTCTTTTCTCCAGAGAAATTTGAAAATTCTGAGAATAAAGACGACGGAAAAATTTTGGACTTTTCGACGCAATTCAAAATTGAAATAAAATAAAGAATGTTTTTGTCAAAAAAAAAGTTAATTTTTGCTTTGCAAGGTTTTTGACGCACTAGATATAATTGTGAATATTTTTAAAATATGCGCGTTTAGTAACTTGAATTAACTACAATATGAATATAACATTTTTGAAACCAACGGCCAACTTACTTTGTCGGTGGAACAGCCTGTATATGTTTGCAGCGGGTTCGATCAGTTCTTCCGTTAAAAAAAAACCCGAATGAAGTTACTTGTATTGGTATACAAACATACATAATTAAAATGTTATTAGATTAAAAACTTAAAATAATTAATAAATAATTTGTACAAAATGTATTAATGATATTAGTCATACCAATGTTAAAGTCTCACATAATGGAAAATGTATCCATTAATTTTGTTTCTTAATTACGAACTGCAAAAGCGTATTTTGATGATTAAAGCAACTGTATCTACGTATTTTGCAAGGCATCCTCTAGCAATGGGGAAATTAAAGCAAACTGGTCTCACATAAACAACAAGCATTTCAATATTCTGCTGCTAGTTAAGCACAAAATATAACACAATTTATAGCAACTCCGGATTTTTTAAAAAGAATGATAACATTAATTTCGTGCCTTACTATTTATCTGTGGAAACAAGGCACCAAATAGCCCATCAATATTTATCTGTTAGAGCCCTAAATAAGAACGAATTAA